CTAAAAAAGTTAAATCTGGTCCTCTGGACATAAAAATAAAATAAAAAAGTAGAACCATTTTGTCTTTCATCTGAAAGACTTCCTCAGTCTGAGGTGCTGTATTCAGCTCAGTCTTATTAATAGCACCCTCTTGCAGTGGATCAACCAGTTTTCTGCTGACAGCCAAACCAGCTGCTCACATAATCAAGGAGGACCATCAGCCTAACGACGGATCATTAGCACACTGATGGCTGTTTTCGCCATCAGTGGCAGTTTTCTACAACCAACAGCAGCTGATTAACATCTCAAAAGCTCAAATAATATCTCAACTACAGCCCCAAATCTCAAATGAGTTGAAAGGATGTTCTGTGGATGCATTCTCATCTACCTGCCAGCTGTGCTTGAGTGCCTGACCACTGAGATCCTGGAACTAGCAGGAAACACAGCTCATAACAGCAGAAGGACAGGATCGTCCCTCTGCACCTACAGTTGGCTGTCCGCAGCGACGAGGAGCTCAGCAGACTGCTGGGAGGAGTGGCCATCGTTCTGGGAGGAGTTCTGCCCGGCATTCAGGGGGTCCTACAGCCTGGGGGAACCGAGAGGCCAGCCAAGTCTGGGCGGACGGATCTGACGGCATCTGCAGCCAGATTCTTAGGATCTACTGTGGGATGGACCTTTACAAGAGATCCTTCCTGCCTACAGCCATCAGCATCTATAACATCTCTTAATGAAATGAGGATAACGAGTTAAAACAACAAATAATTTCCCTTTGGGATTAATAAAGTATTTTTGAATTTAATTGAATAGATGTTGCCATTCCATTATTAGACAGCGTGGGATAAAATGTTATTGCTATGCAGATGATATTTATATTTATCAATGAAACTAGAATTCAGTTACTTATGTTACAGGCTTGTTTTAGAGACAATTCTAAATGACAAAAATCTCTTTTTTCCCCTTTCTTTTAGACAAAGATTGTGGGTTTGTGATCTTGGCATCTTAGGAATACGATAAACTTTAACAACATTCTCCTGAGCTATTTCAAACTGTCACTGGGCACATACCTAGTCAGAGCTTGTTTCCCAATTCAAAGACACCAGGGAAAACATTAATATTTAGGCATAGAAAAGTTAGTTCCAAATAACCCAAGCTCATGTACATGTTGACTCCAGCAAGAATAAAATCCAGCTCCTGTCTAGGATATTTGTCAAAACTGTTCATGCCCATCAAGGTGAAGCCAATTATAACTTGGTGATGAACCCGTCCATGAATAGGTGTCCACTCCAGACACCCACCTAATCCTCTTCCACTTACCACTAACAAGAAGTCAAAGACTGAAGCACCTGAAAATAAATTAAAAATTCAGTTTACTTGAACGGACCAATGAGACACACCTGTCCTGCCCTCAGTCAAGTGGATCACAAAGCGATTGGCCAGGTGAGCCTCGGTGTATGAGGTCACCTTCAAGTAGCCGCTCTCATTGGCCCAGACAAGAAGATCAGAAACATCCGACAGGTCGGAGTTAAGTGTGCTGGACAAGGTTAGGTTAGGCTCAGCTGGAAAGGGTGGTGACACACCACTGGAGGACTGGGGAGAGAGAAAGGACATAATACAAGTAAACAACCTGAGTCCAATCAAGTGTAAAAGTTTTCAGCAGGTAAAAAGGCTCCAGGTTGATTTCAGAAGCAGAAAAACCAAAAAAGAAATATACCAGGCTTTAATGTTCTGTGCTGAAGCAACATCTGAGCTCAGTTTAGTGATCATGCGTGATTAGAATGAGTAATATTTTAATATTAAAACTGGATGTGGTCCGTACATGAACAGAGATGTGACCCCGGACATCATGAGCTGTGATAACCCAGCTGACCGGGACTGAGCTGCTGAGGATAAGCACCACCTTCTCCTCCTTCAAAGAGACCACTGGAGACACGAGAGAGACAATCACCTCTGTCCGCTGAGAACTGAAAGAGCTAAAGTAAGAGAACAAGGATTACCTTTGGGTGCAAACACAGTGAAACAGGTTTTAAGACTAAACGGGTTGAGCTCTCTCACCTACAGCGCTCTGAGCCTGCTGAACGGAGATGGATCACATGGACTTCAGGACTAGCATCACCTGCTGTGGGATGGATGCATCCCCACACTTTTTGTGGCTGCAGATCTGTGATCGTGAAGCTGGGACAGGAAAATGAAGACTGCAGCTGACACTCAGCAAGTCGGGTTGGATCTGTAATACAGAGGAAGAAGGAAGACCCTCTGATTTTTCACCAGAAGTTATATCTGACGACAACAGAAAACAAACGACATGGTTCTCCCTGAATTTGAGCTCTAAAGATGTTTAAAAGGATATTTTGGACATATTGCAGTGGGGTTTGTGTGGAAAAGTCTTCTCTGCAGGCTTTATTTGTAAGAACAGTGTTTAGGTCCATCAGGACTCATGAGCTAATGGCTAGTCTGAACACAGCCAAAAAACCAAGTGGATTGCTGTCATCTCAAAACAACTGAAATCTTCTAAATTTTAGGTAGTTTATGAAAATATTTTAACCATGATGGCTTCAGTTACAGCCACACAAATGGGGTAATGTCTCATCATCACACCGCTACAATAGATTATTGTATAATTCACCATACTTTCGTTTCCTTAGATGTAGGATATGATTTCCAGAGTAACAAAGAATTGCATTTTTTGTTTAGAATTTATTTACATAATCATATAACACTGTATGCTAAAATAAGTGTGCACATTCTAGTTTACATTGTTATGTGTTTGATTAGATTTAATTTTTCTGTTTTTTGAGTTACCTCAGTGCCTGCTGCTCCAGTCCTTCAGGGGAACAAAGAGGTGGAGGAAGGGTGGAGCAAGCCTATATGGAGACCTGAAGATTGGGTCATACCACAACTCAAGATCGGGGGG